TAAGCATGCCCTGATTCCCCCAACCCTTCTAGATGTATTCATCTAGAAGTTATCAGTTTGAGTGACTCCAGTGACTAACTGTAGAGGAAAAGGAGAGGTTTCGAAGATGTCCAGGTCCAACCCAAAACCTTGAATTCCACCCAGAAACATAATGAAAGCCAGGAATGGTCTCTGGAAAAAGCACTCGCTGTATGAAACATTCTAAATGGGAAACCCACATTCTGCACTAGCTGTGCCTTAAAGCAGTGGTTTTAACCTTTTTTCATTTGTGGACCCCCTAAAAAATTGCAAATGGAAGTGTAGACCCCTTTGGAAATCTTAGACAGTCTGTGGACTCCTAGGGGTCCACAGGACCACAGATTGAAAACCACTGTTCTATGCTAACACCTCAGACATAGTCTGCGGGCCCTAAGGGATCCAACCACAGGTTGAAAATCACTGCCTTAATCTAATCAGGAGGTAACAAAGGCACAGATATCTGCACCAAGATCCACGTCAATAGAAAAAGTCAGCCTGCTATGCAAGCAGAGATGGGAATAATCCCAAACTTCTCAAACCTGCTGTACTTCCGGGGCATCCATCAGCCGCAGCAATGATAGTGATCAGATATATGCAGGCCCAGAAGCAGAAGAGGATTTATTAAATCCCTTCAGGTTACAAAGCAAACCCTCACTGAAGGGGATTATATTAATTCTGCCACTTAAAGCACTGAAGTATCACAGGGAAGGACACTACAGTCCAGTCCAATACTGACTTGACTTCAGTTCACACCAGCATCCTGGAGGTGAGATGACTCATGCCCAACCCATCACTCTTACCAGAACCATTAGCCTTCTAATCCCGCATTTCTACAAGAGCAATCATAGTAATGTTTAAGACATCATCATTTAATACCTGAATTAATTTGGTATCTAGAATTGTGAAAGTTAAAACTAAATCCCAAAACGGAACCCAGTCTTGCACAATTCTACTTGGCCATTTTGTTTGTTTCACCATCATCATGGCAACAGGTATGCAAATACATTTATTGTGGCCTGATAAATCTGCATGACAATTTTTACAAGGCCTATTTAGCATAACAAGGAGTTCAGTTACTTACTTTTTAGCTTTATATACATAGGCGCATCTCTTGCCCAAGTAGAATTCAGTCTCATCACGGGCATAAACTCCATCAATTTTCAGGAGGGCAGTGTGCTCCCTCTGGTTTCGGAGGCCACGCTTATAGCCAGCAAAAATGGCTTTGGACCATAGTCTAGGAAATATTGTGCATATTAATGAATCGCCAACCACTAAAGCGTATTGTATGTGAATAAGTTTTCTGAACAAAACTTTCTGAAATAATTAGATACCATGCTAGTAGAAAGCATACAGGGGGAAAAGGAACAGTACTTCACATGAGTAAATACCCCCACATTCACAAAGTGCAGCTTCTTTAGCACAAAACATCAATTATAAAAATCCTGTACTAGCCTTTTCCTTCCTTTTTACTAGAACCATTTCTAAAAAAAGTTAGATTTTCATTTTTTTAATAACACACAAACTCTTGTCGCAACATCCAAAAGGGATAGATAGTATATTCTATACATGGTGAAATAGATTAAGGAACTTGGGGCCTGCTATGCCACAAAAGTCACCATGTCAAACAACCTAGTTAAAATGTTCTCCCTCAGAGAGAACATAAACATGCCCACGGTGATCAGTCCAAGTCATTAGCACAATTCAGGACACTTAACATATGCTTAAGGTCCTCAATGTTGATAAATGCAAAATAATACACATTGGAAAACATATACATATAAGATGGGGTCAAATTAGCTGTTACCACCAAGAAATAGACCTTGGAGTCTTTGTGGATGGTTATCTGAAAACATCCACTCAATGTGCAGCAGCAGTCAAAAAAGCCAATCATTAGGAAAGGGATAGATAAGACGACAGAAAATATCATGTTGCCTCTATATAAATCCATGGTATGCCCACATCTTGAATACTGTGTGCAAATCTGGCCACCCTATCTCAAAAGAGATATATACTGGAATTTGAAAACATACAGAAAAGGGCAACAAAAACGATTGGGGGATGGAACATCTTCCATATGAGGAGAGAGTAATAAAAACAGGGATTTTTCAGCTTGGAAAAGAGACGACTAAGGGGGATATGATAGAGGTCTATAAAATTGTGATTGGTGTGGAAAAAGTAAATAAGGAAGTTTTCAGAGTAGCAGCCGTGTTAGTCTGTATCCGCAAAAAGAAGAACAGGAGGACTTGTG